ACCTAGAACTAGAATCATTCGGGTTTAGCCGTCTTGAGAGACGTGCGGCTAAATCCGAATGTTTCTAGATCTAGGTCTAGTGTTAGTTCCAGCTTTAATTGTTATTCAGCATTAGATTGTTGTTATATTTATATTGACCGAAAAGTAGAACTAACACTAGACCTAGAAACATTCGGGTGTAGCCGTATGTCTCTTAAAATGGTCGAAAACTCAGGGTGGTCATAAGGACGTCACCTTTTCTTGATTTTTGCATAATGTGAAAAGCTCGACGGGCGAAAAAGATCTTTTGCAAATTTACTCACCCCACATCATAATCCTCACAATTTGAAGCAGCAAAAAAGTTAATGTTGCGACGGGATGTTAAGTTTTTGTTTGGTTCTCATGTAGACATCATGTTTCCCTGAATAAAATCGAGGTTCTTCATTAAACACCACCTTAGGCAACTCTAAATTTGAATCCAATCGCAACCTCATCACCCCAAACATAGCTCATGAAGAGTGTAATCACATACTGAATGATCTTGTTCAGAAAATGTTAAGAACAAAATTGAGAAATCTGAAAAAAAAAAGAAAAATGGCATGATTTGACACTGAAGCAATAATTGCAAAGATGGGAATTGTTATTCAAGCTTAAAGAAGGTATTGCACCTTGAAAATAAAGCGATAACGAGGGCTGTTATAAGGACGTCACCTTTTTCTTGCAGATTATCTTTTCTTCCTCTTGGTTCTTGCATAAAGTCAAAAACTCGACGGGCGAAAAAAATCTTCTGCAAATCTACTCACTCCACATCAAAATCCTCACAATTTGAAGCAGCAAAAAAGTTAATGTTGCGACGCGAGGTTAAGTTTTTATTTGATTCTCATATGGACATCATGTTTCCCTGAATAAAATCGAGGTTCTTCATCATACACCACCTTAGGCAACTCTAAATTTAAATCCAATCGCAACCTCATCACCCCAAACGTTGCTGTTGGTCTTGAGGAGATTGCAAAGCTGGCATTTGATACTACAGAATCGATCTTGTGATCTTCTTCTTTCTTATTGGTTGCTATTCTGATCTTTCTGCCAATTAGGCATTTCCTATGTCCAATTCTTTGGTGACGATGATTCCAAAACCTACGAAGCAGTGATGAAGAGTGTCATCACATACTGAATGATCTTGTCCAGAAAATGTTGGGGACAACATTGAGAAATCTGAAAAAAAAGAAAAATGACATAATTTGACACCCAAACACTTGCAAATATGGGAATTGATGTCAAAGCTTAAAGAATGTATTAATCTTTTACATAAAAGAATCCAACATATATAAATTACAACACTTTGAAAATAAAGCGATAACGACAATTTTCTTAGCTACTCGTTGATTCCATTGAACCGGGTTCTAATCGCATTTCACATTAGCATTTCAAATTCTCGCACTTATGAGTAATCTAGATTATATGTAAATCTAATAGGTAATGCTTAATCCATCAATTATAACCATTATCTGGAACCGATGTTTTATTATTGTGTTGAGATAACCTTTTTGTTTATGCAGTGTTTAAGCAGCCCACTCCGGCAAGGTAAACAATAATAACGCATCAATTCGATTCGGTGGTTTTCTCATAGTCGCAGTGAATTGCGAAATTAAGTATTGCATGAAAGGAGTATCGTTAAATTTTTAATTTGATATTTTAAGGTTAATATTTGAAGTGGTTAGAGATATTGTCGCTGATAAGATTGCTACCAACAAAACAATCAATTACGAAAGATCTACGGGGGACGATTCGAACAGTCACGCTCCAACGACGACGGAAGAAGAAGAAGAAGAAGAAGCGGAAAGGTGTCATTCGGGGCGCGGCATCGTTTCGGCTGACTCACAGTACATAACTAGCAGAAGATATTTTCATAAAAGACCCATCGAGTGTACTTAAGCTAACCATTAGCCACCCGAATTAGCATGGCTAATTCGAACTACCCTCTTCAACTCATACCTTTTTTTTAGTGACCGAGAAACCATCAACTTTTAATGGACGTCGAAAACTTTTTTTGCTATTTTTCACTACTTAAGTGTTGTAACACTTGGAGATCGTACCCCGTTGACACCATCGTTGTTGTTCAGTGAACGAACTCGGTACGCACATTTCTCACAAGACTTGAAAACAAGAATCCAAGCTTAGACCACTGTGACACCGTCGTGTTCTCGGTTGCCTCTCGACTTGTTTTGTCCTCCGAGGTTTGTCCATTAGCTCAAAGCGCTGCTAAGTAACTCACGCGAACCCTGTTTTCTTCTATATATTTAAACCTTACCGACATCTTAACGTCTTATAAAAATCGATTTCCGCTACGTACTCAAACAGAACAAAAAAACAAGATTACAATAAAAATGTTGTTTCGGATGTGTATATTTAATTAAATCGGGTTTTATAGAGATCTGTATCAGGATCGTGAAGCAACGCGCGTCAAAACTCGATCCGAGACCGTTGGAACGGTTGCAAAAACTTCGGTCGCCCTGTTAATTACGAAATAATTCACTTAAGTAGCTTGTAAATCAATCGGCGCGCGGACCACACTGTCCGTGGCATATAAATACGGAACCTGCAGGCGAATCGACCTAGAAGAAAAAGGATGATTTTAAAGAAAATTTCAATTTAAAATTTTGGTACTTAAATAAATTATACGAAACTAAATCGAAAAATTTTTTGAAGTCAAAAAATATATTTTTTAAATAATTTTCCGTAAAGAGAGAAATCGAGGTAATGCCTTGCCCGCAAGCGAGGCTATAAGCCGAGGCGCTACATCAATCTTACTTTGGGTTCAAGGTCATTATTGTAGCGCCTCGCTCGCAAACGACTTCGACTTATATTTTTCTTATTACTAAGTTGGGTTGATCTATAATAATAATAATTAGATAGAAAGCGATCACGATAACGCTTCGACGGCAAACCTTAAATATTTCATGATAACTAAGTCGAGATCGCTTGCGGCCAAGGATTCAATCTTTATCTTTAATTTTCTTTGTAGCAACTTTGGTAGTATCAAGAATATAAGCCGTGGTCGTTTGCAACTACATCAATCGTGATTTGTGTTTAGGAGTCATCATTGTAGCACCTCGGTCGCAAGAGACCTTGTCGTATGTTGGGTTGGGTTGTAAGTGATCTCGGTTTGAGTATTTTCGATCATTTTTTTATCTCTAACTATCTTCTTTGTAGCAACTCGGTGTGGACAAGAATATAAACTGAGGTTGGTTGGGGCCGAGACGCTACATCAATCGTTAATGCACTGGATTAAACTTACTTTAAGATGATTTTAAGACAGTTTTTAGATTTTCATCTTATTAATCGCATATACCGGGAATTTAATAACGTAGTTTTCTAATACGTATATTTAACCTTTCAACTACTTCAATAAAAATATACAACAATCTAGCACTGAATAATAATTAGAACTAGAGCTAACACTAGACCTAGAGTCTTCAGACGTACGGCTAAACCCGATATTTTCTAGTTCTAGGTCTAGTGTTAGTTCTAGTTTTACACTAACACTATCACTAGAACTAACACAAGACCTAGAAGTAGAATCATTCGGGTTTAGCCGTCTTGAGAGACGTGCGGCTAAACCCGAATGTTTCTACTTTTAGGTCTAGTGTTAGTTCTAGTGACAGTGCTTGATAGCACTAATTAGCACTGGACTATGTTACATATTTTTATTGAACTAAAACTGGAACTAACACTAGACCTAGAAATAGAAAGTCCCGAGCGTTTCTAGTTCTAGGTCTAGTGTTAGTTCTAGTTTTGCACTGGCACTATCACTAGAACTAACACAAGACGTAGAACTAGAATCATTCGGGTTTAGCCGTCTTGAGAGGCGTGCGGCTAAACCCGAATGTTTCTACTTCTAGGTCTAGTGTTAGTTCTAGTGACAGTACTTGATAGCACTAATTAGCACTGGACTATGTTACATATTTTTATTGAACTAAAACTGGAACTAACACTAGACCTAGAAATAGAAAGTTCCGAGCGTTTCTAGTTCTAGGTCTAGTGTTAGTTCTAGTGCCAGTGCTAGATAGCACTAGTTAGCACTGGATATCACTATGTTACATATTTTTATTAAACTAAAACTAGAACTAACACAAGACCTAGAACTAGAATCATTCGGGTTCAGCCGTCTTGAGAGACGTGCGGCTAGTGTTAGTCTAGTTTTATTTGTTATTCAGCTCTAGATTGTTGTATATTTTTATTGAGCTATAACGAGCACTGCGTTCTTCGTATTGATTCGTTATATCGAGGTTTTACTGTAATGTCAAATTATATTGGCATGTTACATTTTATGTGGGACAATGTAAGTAGGTTTCTATGGAAACATATTTTTGTAATTGCTACTTAAGTAAAATTCACTGTAAATAATAAGTAAAAAATAATTAGTTCTTATTATAGATGAAATTTACATTAAAACGCTTTTTATTTAATTTTAATATCGTGGTATAAAATGCGGAAAAGGTTTGTCAAAATAAATAAGGTTGTAGATTAAGTTGTCTTTCAAACGTTGACTTTTCAAGTTAGTAAATTCTTTGTAAATAGGTGTTCTTAAATATGGGGTTATTAGAAAATAAGTGTTTCTGGTGGTAAGAGGAAATAATATAATTACTGTTTTCTTAGAAACGGTCAATTAAAGTACGGTCTTTAAATAAACCGTACCGATATTTCCAATTATCCTAATCATCTGTTATTGTCTGCGAGTTGGAATACGAGCAAGACAAATTATTTTAAACGGACACCTAATGCTTTCACATGAATAATTTAACCGCGAACGAGATTTACAATTATTTACTTTACTCCGCGTATTTTCTTATCTTGTAATCTCGCGGGACGTGAATTTATCTCCGCCAAAGATTTTTATTAACTTAACGAACGGTGCGTTAATTAGATTTTAATTTCAAATTCCACCGCTATTAGCTAGGCCATTAGTCTCGAGCATTAATAATATTTACAGTTCGCGTTCGCCCCAATGCAAATTTATTCAAAGCCACCATCCGTCAAGCCCGGGCGGCTTTTAATTAACAACAACTTATTGGGACAACTACTCGGACTGAATTATTATTTAGTGGAGCCGAGTCGCGTCGGGATTCGATTCCCATGCGAAATTGATACCATGGCGCGTCGGAAGCCATACATCGCCGTGAAGTGACAATAATTCAGCGCCGTAGTCGAACGTGAAACGATAAAGGTATTGGTTACATCGCGACGTTCAATCATCCGTGCATAAATTAAATCCACAATTTGTCCGTTATCACTTTCCTTAGGTGCTAATAAACAAATTGATTCTCGAAAAAAAAATTTATTTGACTCGGTTATTATTGCATTTAACACTATTGAGTCATGTTCAGTATTTTTTTCTTTCTTCTCTTTACGTTACACTAATTAACCTGGAGGTTGGTCCAAAATAAAACAACGACAGGAATAAAAAAAAAGCAGCTAACGCCGAGGAGCTGAAACCGGTAAATACTCCGATACCGTGCGAAAGGTAGATCAGATATTAGCCGAATAATTTATTTACACGCGGGCGAGTGCTGCTAATTAAAATACATATCAGATATAGCGCATTGTACCGAGGCCCGTTCACGACCGCGATCTCCTATCATCGGTTGTAGGAAAACCCGGTTGCTCCCGCGTCTTCTTCTTCTTCTCCCAAAATAGGAAGCTTCTCACGAGCCGTCACCCGATTTCGTCGGGTTCTAATAAAAATACCGACACTTTCGGTAAGGAAAAGGCACGTTTTCTATCACCACCGATTAGGATCGTCAAGAAATCTTTAAATCCCTTTGGTACCTGTAAAGGAAAAAAAGCTAAAACATTTCTTAATTGAATCTAGTCCTCTATTAAATTTTGAGTTATTATTTCGTGAGCTTCCACCAAGTTAGAGAGTTTAAAAACGGACGCTAAACATCCAAAAAAAGGATTAAGAAAAGAAGAACATTCATAGCTTTTTAGAGCCCCCGAAAACAAGTAGAAAACACCGTAATAAAACAACGCGTCGATAATTATGTTATCTCAACGATCTAAACTAAAGATCCCGGCGGTTTGTTGTTGCGTTTCCGCTCTCGCTCAGGTCACGTATGATTTATATTCCTTCTTCAAGTTAGCGTCTAAACGGCCGGTTTTCGACTTTTATAGGCTATTATTCAAATGACACCGCGTCAGCTCCTAAATAAACA